GTTTTTGCCCCATAGATTACTCGATTGGGCGTTGATGTATTACCGAACAGTATGACTAATCTGCCTGTAGAAACCTAAGTCGTGGGTCATTCTTGAATCATCTCAGATACGAATCCTGGAGCAGCTTTACATCTCTATAACGGGCACGCTTTCGATTATGCCTGAGCGTGCCCCACTCTCCGGAGCTTAGATTCAACGGCATATCGCGTTCACCAGAAATGAACCTGACGTTAGTGGTAGCAAAGGTGTTGAAGTAGGTGGAAACCAATGAATCGGCTCTTACTTAAAATAATCTCCCTGAACATGACTGTGATCTCGCTTGTTTCCTACCTATTCTTCCTATCAGTGAGATGGCTAACACCTAACCGCCGTCCGTAGCTGGTCATGTGTGGCTCTATTGGCAGGGTTATCTTAACCCAATTGAAAATCTGCTTCTTCCTTATTGTCCCAACATCTTTCTGGGCAAACTATCATCTGTTGGAATTTACTCCTCGACGGTAGGAAGCATCCCAAGGTTTTACGTTATAATCGTCGGAGTTGTTTTCGATATCTTATAGCCAATACTTAAATTTGGCAACATTATCAGTTTAGTGCAATACTCATGTCCGTTCAACCTGTTGTTTTCGTTACAGATCATTAATACGTTGCTCACGCCCTTGGTGAACCATTGCCAAAATTCAGCTGAACGCATTTTTCAAACGCGATTGACTGATTCACAATTAGGAGACGGAATTTCCGAATCCCCTCTGTCAAAGTTACCATATGGAGCTGAATCGGCCACCTACCTGGTCAACTGTTTGTATCTGATCGAAAGTACCCTCGCCCAGATAGACTGTGCCTCGGAACAAGTAGAAAAGCTTGCGAATTTACTCAATGCCAGCGTGGACACGCTAGTCGCTGCTCAAGTCACCGTTATTCTTAGAAACACGAATCTCACTCCGTTGGTTCAAGTACTCGAACAAGGACACGATCCGGCAAATGATGGGGCTTTGTGTGCACGAAATGAACATGGACTGAGCGAGCCGGAAGTTCGCAATGCCTTGGTAGGTCCCCAATCAGGATAGGAAAGGAGACGTCTCGTTTGCACGTAGTTTTTAAACTAAACATTCTCACGCGTCTTCTTCTTCATTGGCTATTACAAAGTTGTAAACGAGCGCTGCAAAGCAGTTCCACAACCTCCATAATAGACTTCACTTCACAACCACCAACCCACCGCGACGCACAATTACGCTCCCCAATAACGCACTGATGATGTCACCTCGATTGGTGATGAAACGTTTGCAGTCAAATTGCCCAGCAAGCCAACAACCATCTACGCTACCTGAGCCACCGACATTTTCCTCTATAGAAGACTTCCCTTCGATACGACTGCAGACTACTCGCACGTCACGCCAGTAGTATATGCCGTTACCCTAGTAGCGTCTAATTTTATGGCCCGAATTCTTTTTCTAGTGTAAGAATAAAATACACTGTGCGGTATTTCTATCCCATTTCAAACATTTCTGTCCGAAAGGTTGGAACTCACCGTCTTTCTTACCTCCTCGGTAAAGATTATGCTGCCTGTTGACGGATCCCCTCATTCGACTATTCCTGTCCGAAAACTGTTCTTTTACGTGAACAGATGCTAGCATTTAAATCCGAAGAAAATCCTTTTGTCGCATGCTTCTGAAATTTCGCTAATTCAATCCATCAATACGGCAAGGTAGGTAGGACATCAGGGTATTCATGTCCAACGCGTACTTGACAAGGAAAGCCCTTTGCGATCATCTTTCATTTTGCATCGCTAAAGTAATGCTGGTACGCCTAGTTATTCTGGAAACTTCATTTGTTAATACTGCTGCGATCTGTCGGCCTCACTGTCACCTGGCACCACGCGATATTCTACAAAGCTACTCGACCTTTAGGTAGCGCGTCTCGTTAGTAGGCTTCAGTCCCCATAGCCATGCGCAAGACTGTATTCGGAAGATATTTTCTACGATGACGAATTTTGTTAACATGATACTCGTATCTGCTCCGAACAAGCTTATCACCCGCACATCCATGGCTCCCATAGCTATTACTGATCGTGTCTACCATTGCTCCTGGGAGCGAGATGGACCGAGTGGTTAGAGCGCAATTTACTGACCGTGTATTCGGAAGATATTTTCTACGATGACGAATTTTGTTAACATGATACTCGTATCTGCTCCGAACAAGCTTATCACCCGCACATCCATGGCTCCCATAGCTATTACTGATCGTGTCTACCATTGCTCCTGGGAGCGAGATGGACCGAGTGGTTAGAGCGCAAATTTACTGACCGGTAGGTCCGTGGTTCGAACCCACCCTCTGCCTCTCGACTTCCCCTGTCTAGGCTTGGGCAACCTGACAGTATCCTAGCCCTCGTGCTTCCTTCGTGTGGCATGGCAGCTAGGCACCGAAAGGCTGCTACAGTTGAACGATTTCGACTGCTCATAGTTGACTGTGCTGAGCAACAAGAGAACTTTCCCATTTCCCGTTATCTAACAATGTTTTGCATCACCTATTCATTTCAGACCCGATTTGACCTTTACCTGTCAAACCCGGATCGATTCTGCCTTCCCGAGCTGCAGTACCTCACTGTACAGAAATTAAAGAAAGTGGTACGCCGTCGGGCCGCAGACGATGTGCATTCACGGTATGAAAAAATATTCCGGGCCCTCACGGATCCCACCAACGGGTACAATTTTTCGGCTGACGGTTCACAAGGGAATCAGCTACCAACAAAACTTCGGTCGCCGGAGCAGGTCGCGGAACTCATTTTGAATTTTTGAAACTCATTTCGTTACTTACAAATTATTTTTGGCCACTTTCATCCAGGCATTTTGACTTCCTGTGATACTTTTCTTCAACTCCAAAGCGTGCTACTGATTTGTCTAATTACTTCCACCAGTCTTGCTCTTTGGGAGAGTACTTTTCGCTGAGGAGGTGATATCAAAGCTCAAAGGAATTTCGCACTTCACGGACGATGAAAACCAAGATTGTTTGAGGTGTAGTGGCGTCTGATCCCAGTACTCTGTGTGAACTCTTGCAAGAAGTCTTCATAGTGAATCAACCCAGCTCACTTAGTTGCTGTGACGTTTGTATTCCGTTTCCTAATGTCTGTCGAATACATTGCCCCGGAAATGTCCGTTATTTCAATCCAATGTTGACATTTTGACTTTTCTCATTAACTCGCCAAACTTATTGCACCGAAAGCATGGCAGACAAAAATTTCATCTATATTCTTGACTTATTTCTGGATGACAAACTGTCGGTCCTTTCTCGAATGAGACCACAACAGCCGCCATTCTCTTGTCACGGGTTGCTTGTTTTGGTCTTCTTAGGTCAAGCGGTGCTCATCAGTATCTCTTAGAATGATCCAGTGAAGCGAGCTATACTAACAGTCAACTGCGTCCATTGCCATCCCTTGAAAATCCAACCAGCTTGATATTCTGAGTGACTTCTGACGCCCGGTTCACGACCAGCGTGCAATTAGGCAACAAAGGGGCGACAGATGTTCCAAATGTCCCCCACAGAACTATTAAAATCAACAATTCTTATCACCCGAGCACTATAAAACCCACTCATGATCCAACGGAAATAAGTAGGCTTCGGTCTCACAGTGATACCATTCCGCTACTGAACCAGTTTTTCAAGTAGTTGGATG